GGTGACCATACGTCCTCTTTTCCCCGGACATGTCCTCTTTTTGGACCTACAAAAATGTGTCCGGCCGGGATATCTTAATTGCCCAAAATGTCTGAGATTCAGCTGTTTTCTTAATCTCGCTCCAGCTGAACCTCTGACCATTGCCGCCTGCTGTGTTTCGCTCCCGCGATTTTCGTGTCCACTCCTTTAAACATTACTCGCCAATATTGTATAAAATTTTGGCGCATCAGGAAGCCGCTCTCAGTATGCGGAGTATAATATTTTTGAATGAGCGTTTGCGCTGTTTACTTTCACTTTCGATTTCGCGATCACACGCACTCTGTGTAAAGGGAGCACCCCTCCTGGTGGAATGACCTGCCCAGCTCAATCCAAGCAGCTGAGTCCTTAATATTTTCAAGTAACGGCTGAAAACACATCTCTTTCATCTTCATGTGACCCTCTAACTCTAGCACTCTCTATTCTAATGCTACTTTAATTTTATCTGCTTGGTTTTTTGTTTTTTTTAAACTTGACCCTCTAACATTTGCACTCTCTATTCTATTTATATTCTAATGGCCAATCCATAATTTTGGGGGGGGATTTTTTATTTTTTTTAATAAGTAGGCACCGGAACCGTTTTAAAAGTATCGATTTGGCACCGGTATTGAAAAAAAAAAAAAACGATACCCAACCCTACTTATCCGAAATATGTATGTAGTAGCAACTTTACATGGCAGCTCAATATAATATTAGCCTAGAAAATAATTGTGCTGTTCAAGTGTTTGTGCGGAGTGTGGAAGCTGAACAGTAGCACGCTTGGGCTATAGTGATCGACCGATATTGATATTTTATAACCGATACCGATACCAATTATTTGCATGTTTATGTGGCCGATAACCGATATGCAGAACTGATATTTGTTTACTGTTATAAACTAAATAAATGACTGAGTGAAGTAAGTCCATGCTTCACTTTGGTTTTTCCTCCTTTCAGTCATCTTTAAAAAAAAGTGTTGAAAATTAGCAGTCTTTAATATTAAATTTAATCTTCATATTACAACAATAAAAAAAACATTTTGTTTAAAGCATCAGCAGCAACACTAATATTAACAATAAGCAAAATAAATGTAGAAGGTCTAATCTTTTCAAATCGAGAAAATGAATTAAGTCCATACCTCACTTTGGTTTTTCCTCCTTTCAGTCATCTTAAAAAAAGTTGTCTTTCATGTTCAATTTAATCTTCATATTACAACAATAAAAAAAAAACATTTTATTTAAAGCATCAGCAGCAGCACTAATATTAACAATAAGCAAAATAAATGTAGAAGGTCTAATCTTTTCAAATCGAGAAAATACAAAGGAAATGGAGTAATATCAACTGGTCACATACACTACTATTCAAAATTTGGAGTCTGTAAGATTTTTTTTTTATTATTAAATAAGGATGCATTAAATTGAATAAAAGTGACTGTAAAGACATGTATAATGTTAGGAAATCTTTCAAATTTCAAATAAATCCTGTTTGAACTTTCTATTTATCAAAGAATCCTGTAAAAAATGCATCACGGTTTCCACAAAGGTATTAAGCAGCACAACTATTTTGAACATTGATGATAAAAAGAAATGTTTCTTGTGCAGATCAGCATATTATAATTATTTCTGAAGGATCATGTGACACTGAAGACTGGATTACTGATGCTGAAAATACAGCTTTGCCTCAGGAATAAAATGAATTTTAAATTGTAATAATATTTCACAAAATTACTATATCTTTAATCAAATAAATGCAGCCTTTGTGAGCATACGAGATTTCAAAAACAATATACAAAATCTTTCTGACCCCACACGTTTGAATGGTAGTGTATATTATGCAGGATTCGAAGTTAACTTGCTAAGTGCTAAATAAATATTAAAGGGGTCCTATTATGCTCTTTTACAAAGTCTTGATTTTGTTTTGGGGGTGTACTAGAACAGGCTCTCATACTAGGTTGTATTTTTCACATATTTTACATTATTACAACACCTCTCTCCCCAGTCTGGCATGAACGGCTCGAATAGTTCCTGTA